TCAGGTTAACTCGCAAACACCAGTGGTCAACTCACCGACGTCAATTTGCCGACAACTTTGGTCAACTCGCCGACACAAATCTTTGTTTACTCGATTTGTGACGCTAAAGAACTGTTATGTCCTCTTTGAAAACGGAGCTAATATTAATTTACATTCGATTTGATAATTGTTGTAAATTTTCTTTTAATTGTCCAATGTCGGGTTCAAAGAATATCAAATGTTTAAAACTTTTTGCGAACCACACCAGTAGTAATGATTAGTGGATGTAATTACCAGTTGAATCCATAAGGAGCTCCACCGTTGTCAGTGGTGAATATGATGACAGAATCCTGTAGCATTCCTTTATCTGCGAGTGCCTGCTTCACTGCTCCAACCGATTCGTCTAATGATGTTACCATGGCAGCGTATTTTTGTCTTCTTTTGTCTTTTATAAAACTGAATTTCTTAGGAAAGACCGTAAATAACTGATCATTGAAACAAATTTTATGATAGATGTATTAATATTAATCATTAAAAATTGAGAGAATACCCATTAAATTTTATTCCCTAAAACTAATAATATTAAATAAGGACAACTTAAGCTGATTTAGTGCCGGTATGGTGTTTTTTTTCTGATGGACCTAAATAGACTTCACATATTTGGTTAAAGATGCAACGTATAATAGTCTGGTGAATAAAAATAAACCTATAGACATTGTGTCTATAGGATAAAAACCTTGTTTAAAATTAATTTTAGTATGCTCAAATCAGATGATGTCTACGTTTAATGAATCAAATTAGTATTTAGCTGGTTCTATTACCTCAATAAGATGTTTTGGTGCCTGCAAAGGATCGTTCTTATTGGCTGAATGCGCTGCTTGGTGAGCGAGGTACAAAAACATTGGTTTAGAATTGTCGTGAGCATTGATCTTTTTTATGGCCTCATGGGTGAAGAGATCCGTGGCGTAGACTCCATCTCTTCTGATTGGCTGGAGCATGATAGAATAATGACAGTTAAACTGTAGTGACAAAAATCTACTTATTAGGATCGGAAGATATCAAAATCTTTCTTACTGGTTTTGCCACTGCCTCTTGGTTTTACATAAGCTAAAATGGTTAGCATTCAGTGGGAAGTTAGAGTGGCATGTAGAGGAGAACGATCTATTTTTCGTTTGACTTTTTTTTATTTCTGTTCAAGTCGTATACTTTGCCTTTGCCTACCTTCTCGTTATCTCGAAGATCATAGCCCCAGTAATCCTCAAAAGAGCTGTGATCCCAGTAATCCTCTTTCGCACCCAAGAATCCGAAGAAAGAGTCGAAGCCTCGGTACAAAGGTGTATACTCCTTAGTGAAATATCCAAGATGCCACTGTAACGAAAAAGAAAGTTAGGCCTCACTTCTTATCACCCACCATTCTCTTATCTTTCAAGTACTAGATGAGTTCAAAGCGAGCAGAACATAGAACTGTCGTAAATAATTTAAATGTCGTGTAAAGTTTATGGTGCAAGCTTATTTGAGCTGTAATACGGAAAATTAATGGCCTAAGCCTGCACCCTACGTGTTCATTACACAACTAGAACGCCCAAGCAATTAAGTTTGACACGTGTATGCTGTGCACTTGCGTACTTTTCCAACCGCGTGAGTCTGGTAACCCAGGGATTTGAGATACTGCGCTGTCGTTATTTCCTTCAGTGGAAGACCATAGGGCTGTGCGGCGAAGATAACGAAATGTTGAATACCTAATGACGAGGGAAGAGACATTTCCATGAGCTTTGATTCCCAAAATTATTTTTAACGCTAACTCGGTTTTTTTTTTTGGATGAAGCGACTGTCTTGTCTGATCTAGATCTAAATTATACTTACTACAAGGATCCACAGTTACTTGTTAACAAACACGTGTTATGATAAACTTTGTTTGCAAAGTCGCAAAAGACATAACATCACCTTGCTCCCGTAGTTGTCAATTTATCTATGACCTTACTTTTAATCTATCATGCATCATTTTACATTATTCTGTATTGCTTTGATTCATACGTTTTGCAAATCAGTCAGTTATGTCGGCATATATATATATATAGTAACGACCAAAGAAAACTGTTTGAGCTGCTCATGTTTATCTTACCAAGATGGATGGGGTGTTTTCCAGACATGATTGACGCTCTAGTCGGAGTGCACATCGGAGACACGTAGTAGTTGTTTAATATGACGCCTTCGTTGGCAAGTGCGTCAATGTTTGGTGTTGGAATTTGAGGGGAGCCATGGAAACCTACATCATCCCAACCCTAGAAATTCAATGTGGTTTAGAAGGCTTAAAAACTACATCATCAGAATATAAGCTCTAGAGTATGATTTACGACATCTTAACTATCTTTAATTATTCCTGAGACGATACTGCGGTGATTTTAAACCGCACCTAATCAATCGATTGCAGAGGTCATCTTCAGGTGTCTATGTTAACCCCACCCCACTCCCAAACGAAATACGTGATTTCAGTCACTGGCCTAGGAACTGACATAGTAATTGAACGGTAAGGAAATAGTTATGAGGAGAGCATCTGTTATATCGTCCAAAATCGATTAATTCCCTTGAAAATGGTCGAGAAATACGTGGACTTGAAGTAGTTGACAAAAAGGCTTTGAGTGTTTACTTTTTAGGTCTTTCTAATGTTTGATACTTGCCAAATCGTCTGCCAGAATAAAAATAAGATGTGGTTGTTTCTTTGTAGCTCTGCAAATTGATATTAACATACTGAATAGGCAAGGTAACCTGGAAAGCAAAAGGAGGAGAGATGTTCAGTGACATTAATTAATCAGAATCAACTAAGACGTTGGCTGTCATTTTTTCTTCTTCTATCTGCTTTATGTGAACCTCTGTTTATATTTAAGTCTTGCCCATAAACAACTGAAGCAGCTCCCCTGAATTATAAGTAACCCCATCGGTCCAGAATTCACATGTTTCATACGCACATGCGCTCTGATTGATTGGGGAAGAGTTATTTTCGAGATGCTAAAAGATATAATTTTCTGTAAAAAGGCCATTGTTTTACGCCTTAGCCAACACGAAATTTTTCGTCGTAACCTCGATCTGCATGTATGTAAAATCAAATGAATCATAGCATTTTGAGAATGAACGCTATCTTAACCACAACAAAGTAATTATGGTTAGAATGAAATATTAAAATCATACCAATTTTTCTTACTTTGTTCACTATTTGAGGCAATTTTAGCATTTTCCTTATTGAACAATCATGAGATCTCTATCGAAGGCTGGCGTTTGTTGTAGAATTTATGATCTGAGTTCACGTTCACAAGAATTCGGCCACCTCTTGTGCAAGTGATAAACAAAACTTAGGTAGGTGTTAATGCGCGTTGGCTTTTTACTACAAATGGTTCGTAGTTATACTTATGTGTTTCTAGAAGCAGTTAATGTTTATGAAATATAGAGTAAATCGTGGTATTTGAATAGTTCTTTAGACGAAATATCGAATCGTTTACTCAGTAAGAATACAATCAGATCAGTTATAATCAGGCGTCATCGACAAATTAATCCGCCTAGCCCCCTAATTTTGCGAGGTGTCACATACCAAAGGTTTAGTTTTGTCAACTCCATGTTGTCCTGTTTCTAAGTTTTCGAGTCTGTCAGTGTTGTTAATGAGTGTGTTTTCTACAGCGTTATTTTCCTTGGCACCTTAATTTCCTTTGCTTCAAACTAAAATACGGTTTGTTTACACCCAAACAACATGTTCCCGTCCCAAGATTGATGAAATTGACCTGTTGTTGCCAGAAAAACAAACAAAATTCCACTTTTATTTCTACTGTGATAGTACGAATCGTAGTAGATCTTTTTATAGCGGAAAGTAGATGGAAACTAGAAAGAAAGAAATTTGCAATTCCTCAACGCGATGCTCTCTCGTTTTCAAGTAATGCTACCTCTAACAGGCACTATGTGTAATTCACTTACAGAAATCATTTGCTTTTTTCTCTAAATTGCTGCATTTTGATCGTCTAGACCCGTTTCCATCAATTTATCGATTAAAAGATAAGGCAAGGTATGGACCCGTCTTGACGCTGGTGAGTCATAGCCGAGGCAAGCAAACCAGTTGTTTATTATATAAATAAAGCCGGTGTCCTCTTATTAATTTAAATGTTTATCTTATTCCTCGGAACATAACACTCACGCAAGAGGAAACCAAGAAAATTGGTTGACGACAGCAAGCGCTGCAGCGTGAAAGGGAAAATATCCGTTCTTGCTCAGCTACATGCGTAGTCAGCCAATCACAATTCATGCAATCAAGAAAATAAAAAAAAAAAGATGAAATTTAGCAAAAGCGCAGTGTTATTATTTGGTTACGATACAACGAAAACTTTCTTTCAATTCAGTAGCAATTGATTTCTATCGGGCAGAGTTATGTTATGCTGATTGAGATGCTTCTGATCAATAATCAAAAAGCCAGAAGAGATTAGCAGATTTTTGCATATTGTCATAGCTTTTCTAGTATCAGACTGAGTTTCCACATTAGCTAGCCTGATGGGTCGTGTAGTGGGTGTATGGAACATATATGTTAATACTGAATTATTTAACAGTGTCAAACACTATACACATCTAATTGATTGGTTAATGGAATATTGACGTTTCAAAAACAAGACTTGCACGTTTCTAAGTCCACTTATAAAATGACAAAGCGCTGGACTACTTTTAACTTTAAAAAGATGCGACAACTCTGTGAGTGGTTACTTGGCCAAGTATTTGTCTGTTTCGAGAAAAAGCTGTTTCGTAATCCATACTGAGAATGTATGAAGCACTGTTGTATACATGTATCCTGAGGGAAAATGGTTTCCAAACTAGATGTAGATGTCAAAAATAAAAACAGCTGTTTCAATTTGCTTATTTCCGCTTCAATTTCTTCCAAACACACTCCTGAGAAACCTCGAGGGCCGCAGGTGGTTGAAGAAAGACTCTCCTCAAATCCTATAGATTCCCCAAGTCCCTATGCATTCCTGGTGGGAATAAAAACCAGTTCAGTTGTAGGGTTGGGAAAGAGCTAAAACTTGAGATCGTACCATCGATTGAACTTGAAGTGAAACCACTTTTCCACCCGTCTAAATAATTGTGTAGAGAATAACATAAGGACTGTACGAAAGTATCTTGAATTTATAAAGATTAGTATTCCCAGCGCCATTTATTGAACACATTAAAGCCAGCCAAAGCGGACGAATGCGAACATACATCAATACGAGGGGCTATGTAATTGTTATTATTTGCGAACAGAAGCCATTCTTGTTTAGTCGCTCATAGTTCTGCACGGTTCGTGTGGGCCAAACTGTTCATACAGGTAAAACTCACGAGAAACAAAGCTGGCGAAGATAGAAATTCAACACGACGATGGTAAAGGGACTCATAGACTAATAGACTAAGGGTACGCATGTAATTTTTTGCTTTCATTATTTTGGTAATTCGCCTATTTATCATACCCACCGCCGTGCCAATATTGAGGTTTGTTTCGGATCATTATCAGCAGCTGGGAACAGACCCTTATATAAAAGAAAAAAATTTTTCGTGCTCGTCTGACTCAAAATTTGAAATTACAATAAAATAAAATTAAAGCAAAATTAAAAGTTTTTTTTTTCAGTTTTTCTGCACATTGCTATTTTGGAGACCCTGTTGGTTGATGTCGGTATTAAGTGTTTGGCTAGAGTTATATTTCCCACTGTAAAATTTATACCAGAATTACATGCTTGTGCATGTCTTTTAAAGTAACAATGTAAAAATAAAAAAATGTGCTTGATCGCATTTTAACGCAGTAAAAGACGTGCTTTGTAGGGCGACGTGACCAAAGCCTTTCAATTCGAAGAGGCATTCGCTGTTGTATGAACAGCTGCCACGTCCCAATGCGGCGAGTGAGCGATCGTACAAACATAATTAAGCCTTTCCTCGAAATACGTTGCTGGTGCTAGAAACAAATAAAAGAAAGTTTGATAGGTTTGTGATAAGGATTATTTTTTTGTTGCTTTTATTTAAGATTGGTGAATAGGACTGCATATCGTCGTGAGATCGTAATGTTGGTAACCGGAAGGAACTCAAAAGGTGTCTAAAGACTGTCGCGTTGTTCTTCTAATTTGTTCGACATATTATTTAATGAAACCTTACATTATTCTATTTTTCTTGTGATTGTCAACCTCTTGTACTGTAAAAATAAATACTGGTTTTTTTTTTCTTGTGTACTTTTTTCTTCTTTAAAGTCCAAACATCCGCATTCACTAATGCAGCAAGTAATGACGGATTTTTTATTTCTACAGAGATGTCAGTCAGATACGAGGTTAAGCTAAATGAAAATGAACAAGCTCCGTGACTGAATGTCAGAACAAAGCGAAATTATAAGGCACAAATTTAAAAAAGTATTTTACTATTCTTTATAGGACTAGAAACAATAATTATTTGAAATGAAAAGTTCAGTAATTTCAGAAAAAAAGCACCATCGTTATCTCAATATGAAATGTTTATCTTATCTGGTCTAGGATCTCAAACAAATAAATTGCAGAAATTAAAAGACACGTATCAATCAAGCTACATTCACCATATCTGATTCAAGATCTTGTGATCGAAACGGCCCATTGTATTGTGAATTACTTGCGCTGAAGAAAATCGAATTTCCAACTCTGAAACAAAAACACAATAGGTAGCTTTGATTCACCATTCTTAACCATTCTTCCCATTTTCATTTTTATATCCAGCCTTTCATTTAGGTATGCATTCGTTAAATAGATAGGGAAAAAATTAACATTGTGTTCAGCTTTGGGTTAATTTAATTTGTCTACGCTCGTTTTCATGATCTTTAGTGATCACCTTCTAGTTGCGTATTGAACTTCTTTGACTTATTAGTTAACCTTATGGTATAATCGACAGATATCGGCCTTAATTTAATACGTTGTTTAAGCATGAACGATGACCTTAGTTAACGCAACGGTCATTAACTTCTGGCGTGGGCCTAACTGTTAACCCGGATGTTTCCTTACTTTCAGCCGCTTAAGTCTTTGTAAGCTGAATCATGGACAAGCACAACATTACTTTGAGGCCGAATGAAAGTCAGTTATGCTGTCAAAGTGATATTGAGGCAACCTTTTCCCTTGTCTCTGGCATTTCTCTTGTTGTCATATCGTTTATCACTATCGCTGGGAATGGTATGTTGTGCGTGGCCATATACAAGAACCCACTGAAACGTTTCCGTTCCGCGCCAATGCTCTTCGTAGCAAACTTGGCCGTTGCCGACTTCTTAACAGGCTCCATCGTGGATCCTTTGTACATTACTTACAACTTTGGCTTCAACCAAGCTAAAGACTATCAGGCCGCTTTAGCAGTAGGCGATCATGCTTCATATATTACTGTCAATGTTTCTCTTTGCACTGCGGTGGTTCTTGTCATCGACCGATTCCTGGCTTTAAAAACCCCCTTTCGTTACCGTAGATTCATGACGAAACAAAACGCGGTAGGAATCGTGGTCGTCTTGTGGGTCTATTCCATAATGTTCAGTTTCCTGCCACATATGGGTACGCACGACACTGTGTATTATTTGTTGGATCTACACATCCACGTCACTGGGAGCCTGTTCACTCTGACTGTTTTTCTCTTTCTTATTTATCGACTTTCTGTATTAACCAGAAATCAACGAGCGGGTATGACTGACTCAAGTCCTCAACTTGATCAGCGAGGAAGATTACAACTGGTCCGCGATAAGAAAACGATTTGCACCTTTTTAATCATCTTAGTTGCATGTTATATTTGCTTATTGCCCTACTACATTTACATGCACGTATTTTTGTTCTGTGCCTCGTGTCAGACAAGCTGGGTGCTTTTAGTTCTCAGCAAAATTTCTGAGCCCATAGTATACATGAACTGCGCATTGAATCCATTTATATACGCTTGGAGACATAAAGTGTTTCGGAAATCACTGAAGATTGCGTTCATGCCCAGCCAAATGAGAGTGAAACCAGAGGAAATGAACTCGCAGAGAACCTCAGGGATGTCAATCTTTTAGGTCCTGAACCCCGAGCTCAAAGAAAAGAAAGCTTAAAAGTTAAATTTATTAGATTAGTGCATGCTCCTCCGGCCTTTACACAAAATGGTAACCGGAGAGAAACAAGTCTCTTATTCCATCGCTAGTTTGAATTATATTTAATGTAATAAATCAAGACGTATGTCCCAACTTAGAAATAATCCGTTATGGTACGTTAAGTTCACCGTTAAGTGAAGACCAGTGGTGCAGACTTAAGGCTTAATTCCGCTTTTTAAGGGAAATTCGATTCATTCATGGCTCTCCTGAAGTTATCAACTTCTCTCCAAATATGCAAAAACATCCTCTTTTTTTTGCCAGATTTAGACTAAACGTGTTTAGGAATTACATATTTACCACCTACCTACGTCAGGTTCTGCTACTTAGATACGAACAGTACGTTATTCTCAGACGAAAAAAGCGTATTATATCTACAATTTCCGTCGTTTCGTATTTAATAGGATAATGACTTTCCTTTTTTGGTCGCAATTTTCTCAGGGTTGATACTTTCAGCCGAACTAACTTGTGTCGTGTTTACATCAGTGTGTATGAAGTTGTCAATTGCTTTTAAATGACGCGGCAAATTAGTTAAAAATTTAATTGGGATTCGAAATTCACCCCTCTTGGTATCGAGGAGATTAAATTTTTGTTCCATCGCTAGATTAAAGAAAACAGCATGCAGTGATATGTCATACGACGTTTATAATCTCTTTGACATCAATTTTTAACAGCTGCACAGGGATCCAATCCTTGGAATCCGACAAAGTTGTATTTCCATGCGTCATCCCTCGATTTTGAAATGCAAACACGCACCTGTCCTGGCGGGGAATTGTATTTCTATGCTTCCTAATTCTATTCGAACGCAGACCCCAGCTGCGAAGTATTTGTTTAAGTGCTCGACGATACTTTGGCATTGTCCAGGCGTAAAGAAAAGGGTTCAATCCTGAATTTAAAAACAGAATTGGCTCCGAGAACTTGCTTATAGTTTTTACTGCTGCTATTTCCATGCAGGACTCGCAGAGTAGTTCTACATGAAGCATTATGTAGATAGGCATCATACACGCGATAGCTACCACTAACAGTAGGAAAACGGTTCTTAGCAATTTTTTCTCTGATTTTATTTTAGTTTCCATCTCGTTGCGATTTGGCTGTCGTCTTGTTTTGCTATTGTAGCCTTGTGTTCTTAATGACTCTGTTAGTTGATGCCTGATTGTAAAATATATCGATACATACACCCCTATTAATATCCCCACAGGTAGGGTATAATTCAGATGCAAATCAAGCCAGTAAAAAACATCTTGAGGTAAACCCATGAAGCGAAGCATACTGAATAGCAGGGAGTAACTCCACAATAGAATGACAATTTTAAGGATGCAGTCGTGGTTCATCTTTCGCTCATGTGATAATGGATATTTTACCGCAATATACCGATCTAACGCCAGGGAAAGGATAGACAAAATCGAGGCGTTTACAAAAACATATGCAGTTGATTCCCCAATGACATATAAGGTGGTGAATTCTTTCTTCATGAAGTTGCATATTTCAAATGCTGCATATAAAGGTTCAGTTATCAAACCTGTGAGAAGGTCAGCAGCCGCTAGATTTACTACTAAATAATTAGCTGTACTTCTCAAGCGTCGATAGGGATCTTTGTAAATTGTTACACAGAGGAGAAAATTCCCCGTAACTGCCACGATACCAACGAGCAAATTTGTTACACCAATCAATAACGGAGTGAGCGGCAATCCTCCTGAACTTTCCAAACTATCAATTTTACCTGTCGCAGTAGTGTTGAAACCCATCTTAGCAACTTCAGTCGCCTTTACGACTCGTCTCGTACGTTTTAGAAAGTAAAACTTCGAAGGTAAATCATGTTACGTATATCACCTTGATAATGATTTGGATTTCGATTTGACAGAAATCCCGTGGCTTCAAAAATCGCAAATCCTTTAAGTGCGGAAATCACCCCGGAGCCATCGCCGCCAATTTTCATTTGCTTTCAATAATGCAATACCTATTGAACTGTTTTCATTGGTTGTTATCTCATAACTAAATCTGAATGAATTAAATTTACCGATAACAATATAATGTAAAAGAATCATAGGTGACAGTTTCTGCTTGTTAATATTTCATTTTTACTCCATCCGCTACAGCCTTATTATTGTAACATTTACAATCTTCCGTATTTTTGAAATGATGAAGAATCCTTTTAAAATTTTCGACCACAAACCATTTTTGCGGAATGTGTTAAATCCATATGAAAAACGATTTTACAGAAAATTTTGCCATCAGAAGAATCGTGGAAATAAGTATCGTAAACACTGCTATCACGGCTTCCAATATCGCATTGTTTTTGTTTGAATTAGAGAACATAAATTTACGAGTTCATGAAATAGTGTCACCTGAGAAACAAAAAATGAAAGTTTGCGACACGTGAAGTGCTAGAGCCTTTGTCAACCTTGATGTTAGATATCTGATGGTAGTAAATACTCCTCCATCTTTCAAGATTTGCATCTAATGATGCGACAACAGTAATGTTGCTCGTAGCTTTGTTCGCCAGAGAGGCTCAAGGCGTATTACTTGAGAAAGTAGAGGCCATTTTATACAAAAGAGAACGACAGAGCACTGAAATATTGTCTACAGATATTTATCTCACATCAAGTTTCGGTCATTTACACTCGGTAGTCAAAACGTTACATCTTGCCACATGACCGCTGACATACAAGAGTGATGTTAGAAGAAAAAGTTAGATGCTCCTCGGAGTCAGACGGTCAAAACTCATTGATAACAAAGAGTACGATGTGGAACTGCAAGGGTTTAAAGCAGTTATTTTGTTGTCCCACAATGCTGATAAACGTTAACATCAATTCGCATGGGTTCATTGAAAACTACTTGACATCAGAAAAACTTTAGGCAATAATATCAGGGGAAAAAACTGTAATGAATTAAAACATGCTTAAACAATTCAAACACGCCTGCAGTATTTTGAACGTTTATTGTCACGAGTACAAGGATAGGCGAGGTTTCAGAAATTTATTATAAAAAGCAAATTATAAACTTCAATAGGTTTAACTTAAACAAGATCAAGAAACCGGTACCTTAAAAATTCTATCTCTGACGCTTTTTGAATACGACAGTTAAGAAAAGATCCCAAATGAGCGGATGTACTTCTGGTTCCAGTAGAAATTAACCTTGAACGTTGCACTCTGATGGTATAACTAAATACTTCCTTATCTTTGTTTGAGCTACTTGGTAGAAATCATTCCAGCTTACCACAGGTGAACCCTGAACTTCTTGGCAAGATCTCGCGTTGTCGAGCAATTCTTTTTTTCCAATGAGTCCCAGTCAGACGAACCTCATCCCCTCTCTCTCTCTCTCTCTCGCTATGTCCCAAAGATAGTTTCTTTGGTTTTCCCCGTAGCTTAATTTCTCCTCCATCGCATTCTGAGCCAACTGGAATCGAGGTGCCATCTTTAAAGAGATTAATGGTACCTAGGTTTCCACTCCATTTCCATCCCAGGTTACACAGACTTGATGCCAATGATGATCGTCAAGCCCCTCAACTTCTCTCGAAAAGCTGTTTTCAAAATGATGATATTTAAAAGGTTAGGTTTCTCTAACTTCGTTGACTGGAATTTGAAAGAAATGGGTCTTACAAAAAGATTTGTATTGGGGCTAAAAAGTTATTTATATTCACTTACCAAAATGTAGCAGTCCTGATGTACATGAAAGTGTAAAAGCGTATTCCGCGATATCCTCCGCCGGTTAATCTGAGGTAAAAAACGTCGCCATAATTTGTTCGGAAATCCACCATGTTGATGTGTTTTGTGTCCCTTTTAAACTCCTCTGATTGAAGCTTCAGCCATATGCAGAAAACGAGGCTTGTTGCAAGAAAAACGGATGCATTACTCATTCGCAATCACCGTTTGCTAATCGAGCAAAGCAATGCGTTTGCAGATAGAGACAGTTAGTGAAGTTATCATTATCAACGTCATCTTTCTTACTTAACTAATCACTTACGACATGACACAGTGCGCTGAACAGACAGACGTTGACCATATGAACTATGACCATTGTCAGTATCATACTGTAACACCCTTTTTATACGAGAATGGCGTGTATTTTACTGGAGGGGAATGGGAGTGGCGAAAGCCCAGTTAAGGTTTTACGTTATATGTTGTTGTTTTACACATTCTCAAAAGATAATAGATTTTGTCCAAAGCGGTTTTTCTGAGTTTGCAGTTTCCTGAAATGCTCATTACTAATAGCGCTCTTTTGAACCCAAATGTAGAGCGAACACTCTGTATATAAGGCGAAAACTAAAAACTCGTTCTGAACGTTTGTTTGTCTGGTTACAAAATTTGCTAAAGACTCAATCATTTTAAACGAAAAACTGTTTCGACCCAACTTTGACCATAAAAGGAGGAGCACTCGTACAAAGTTCTCCTTTAGAATTTAAATAAATAATTATGAACCGAATTTGAATTGATTTGAAATATTATTAATTAAAAGTTTAAATATATGTTAAGTAGAACGTACGGCACGGTTGTGTATTGCACTCCTGTGTCTTCCTGGCTGCCCCAAGGTGTTTACAATCCTTCCCACCCTGGCTGGTGGGGGATTGTTGCAGGTTCTGGCAAGAGTCTTGATTCCTCCACCACATGTGACACTACACTGAGAAACTGCTGACCAGCCAGTGTAGCCCCCATCAATAGCTGCATGTAAAATAGTTATCAATCCTACTAGTCCAAGGAGCCTTCTTGCCCATTACTACAGATATTATACCATTTTCTGTGATGTTGATGCAGGAAGCTAGTCAATCAGAGAGAGGAGGTGTCCTTGTGGCCAGTACTTATTGATACTCCCAGATGAGAGCTGCTCTGAGTGTAAAGTTTTCTACCAGTAAATTGGTGACGTCCATGTAGTCTTGTTGAGTGGGAGTATCCATTATTTTTTAAGTGCTAAGAACTTTTAGTCAAAGCCAAATTTACGTGTTTAAATGCACTGAGATATTTACCTCCAGGAACTATACACTGAGACAACTATCTAATAAAATTCCTCCTGAGTGACTTCCTGTACAACTACCTCCACTTCACAGTGGGACCACCCATACCTCATGCCTCTGTCATAGGTATTCGCTTCCTCAACAATCTCAGATTCAGTGAGTATTCTATTCCACAGATTAAAGCCTTTTATGCCAACATTTTCCGTTCTT